GAGTTTAATTCCGCTATGTTCGGAATTACATCTAGGATGATGTTATGTGGAGAGAAAATAAGTGATTATGATATGATCGAGAAAAACTCTCTCCACGTTCCATCCTGGAAATATAGTCTTGCACCAACAATACCGGGCGAATGGATATACCCGTTACTCGGAGTTGATGCAAGTCCTCCTTGTAGCGGAGGAGAATAATCAACTCGTGACTTTAAACCATCATGCTCGTCCCACTGGATATGCTCCATTTCCTGAAGCGAATGTTGCATCATCCAGTTATGATAATTGGAGAGGACGAGGTCGTGGACGTGGTCGAAATCATGGTCGTGGAAGAGGACGAGGGAGAAGATTCCGTCCATATGATAAAAGAAATAATAAAGATTTCCACGAAAATGAAAAAGGTGAAAGGGGCCGGGATGATAAAAAGTAAACAGGAGTTTGCTACAGATGCGGTATGAAATGGCATTGGGAACATGTTTTCCGTACGTCAAAACATTTAGCCGATCTGTATAAAGAATCTCAAAAGAGAAAAGAGAAAGTAGGTGAAACAAAAGAGAAATGAGGTGAAACAAACTTCATCTCTGATGAACCCGGGCCATCCTTTCATGGTTTAAATGATGATACTCATCTCGACGTATCAGATTTTCTGGTTGAGCCAGAAAATATCGATGAGTACTATAAAATCGATGTGATCTAAGTATACTGCATTATAGTATTTATATCTTTTGTTGTAAGATATACGTTATGTTTCTTGTTTAATAATGCATATTTTATGTTATGTGATATAAGTTTAAAAATACATGTTTTCAGAAAGAATGCCAAACTTTGAGACTATGGATGGAGATATGTGTTTGGCAGATAGTGCTACGACGCACACGATAATCAAAGATAAGAAATATTTCTCCAGTCTCAAAATAAAAGATTACGCTGGAAGCGTAAGTACAATATCTGGTTATGCAAAGATTATAATAGGCTCTGGAAGAGTGAAATTTTCAATGCCAATGGGGACGATATTTGAAATAAGTAATGCATTATACTCCCCCAAGTCTACTAGAAACTTGTAAAGTTTCAAGGATATCCGAAGAAACGGATACCATATTGAGACTATGTGTAAAGATGGCATTGAATTTCTTTGCATTAAGTCCAAGGGGAAACATATATCAGAAGAGTTAAAAATGTTATCCTTAGGACTATATTGTACAAGAATACACATGACTGAGTCCTATGCCGTGGTAAACATGAAGTTTACTGATACATTTAAAATCTGGCATGAGAGACTAGGACATCCTGGTTCAGTCATGATGAGAAAAATAGTGCAAAATTCAAATGGCCATCCGTTGAAAAACGGAAGAATTTTGCCGACGGGCGAGTTTACATGTAAAGCATGTTCTCAAGGAAAACTTATTACTCGGCCATCACCAGCAAAAGGAGGCAATGAATCACCAATGTTTTTAGAAATAATACATGGTGATATATGTGGGCCGATCCACCCACCGTTCGGGCCGTTTAAGTATTTCATGGTATTGACAACACGAAATACGGCTTTCGCAAAGTTCATTGCCCAAATAGAAAGGCTGAGGACACAGTTCTCATGATATGCCATTAAGAAAGTAAGACTTGATAATGCTGCTGAATTTACATCGCAAGCTTTTAATGATTATTGTATGTCAGTGGGGATTGATGTAGAACATCCAGTGCCCCATGTTCATACACAGAATGGCATGGACGAGTCATTAATAAAGCGGTTGCAGTTGATTGCAAGGCCGTTGATCTTGAGGACAAAGCTCCCAATTTCAGTTTGGGGTCATGCTATTTTGCAAGCGGATGCACTAATTCGGCTAAGACCGAGTACATATCATAAGTACTCTCCTTTACTATTGGCATATGGGCATGAGCCAGATGTATCCCATCTTCGTGTCTTTGGGTGTGCGGTTTATGTACCGATAGCTCCGCCACAAATGAAAAAAATGGGCCCACAGAGGAGATTGGAGTATATGTGGGTTATGTGTCACCAAGTATTATAAGATATCTGGAACCAATAATTGGTGATATGTTTACGGCACGATTTGCCGATTGCCGTTTTAATGAAGAAGAATTTCCAGCGTTAGGGGGAGGAATTAGAGAAATTCCTAAAGAGATTACTTGGTGTATACCATCGTTGTTACACCTTGATCCCCATACAAATAAAAGAGAGCTGGAAGTTCAGAAAATTGTGCATTTGCATAATTTGACAAACCAGTTACCAGATGCGTTCATAGATACGAGAAGGGTGACAAAATCATATATACCCGCTGAAAACGTTCCATCAAGAGTTGTTGTTCCCAAAGAACACACTGATGGAGATACAATGAATGAGCCTAGGGCTCAGTTAAAGAGGGGTAGACCTGTGGGTTCTAAAGATAAAAATCCACGAAAGAAAAAGAAATTGGTTGAGCAAAAAGGGAAGGTTCTAGAAGAACCTGATACTGAAAGATGTCTGAAAGAAGGCATAGATGAAAAGGTTCAAGAATAACCAAATAAAGATAAGGATCCAGATGACGAGGAGGGAACAGAGAAGTATGAGATTTTCCATCAACTACGCCCAAGATGAATAGTTATGGATCAGAAATAAGATAAAAGATGTTGATGGAATATTCTCCTTTTCTGTGTCCAAATAAATAGATCACGAAAGTGATGATCTTGGGATCCAAGGTCCATTTTAGAATGTATGAAAAGACATGATTGGGAGGAGTGGAAAAAGGCCATTGAAATTGAATTACTCTCCCTAAATAAAAGGAATGTCTTTGGACCTATAGTCATAACGCCTGAGAATATAAATCATGTTGGGTATAAATGGGTATTCGTGAGAAAAGTAAATGAAAAGAATGAAGTAACACGATATAAAGCCCGATTAGTAGCCCAAGGTTTCTCTCAGAGACCGGATATTGATTTTGAGGAAACGTATTCCCCGGTAATGGATGCAATAACGTTTAGATTTTTGATGAGCCTTACGGCGTCAAAGAATCTAGAAATGCATCTTATGGACGTTGTGACTGCATACTTGTATGGATCATTGGATAATGATATATATATGAGACTCCCTGAAGGATTGCAAATGCCAGAAGCATTGAAAGAGAAATCCAGAGAGATTTGTTCGGTCAAATTACAGCGATCACTTTACGGATTAAAGCAGTCCGGACGCATGTGGTACAATCTCTTAAGTGAATATCTCTTGAGAAAAGGATATGTGAATAATGTGATATGTCCATGCGTTTTTATAAAGAGATCGTCATCTGGCTTTGTGATCATTGCTGTATATGTTGATGACTTGAACATTTTTGGAACTCAGAAGGAAGTTGATGATGCACAAACTCATATGAAAGAAGAGTTCGAAATGAAAGATCTCGGAAAGACAAAGTTTTGTCTTGGGCTCCAGATTGAGCATCTCCGAGAAGGTATATTTGTGCATCAATCAAATTATACGAAAAGGTTATTGAAACGCTTTCGTATGGACAAAGCAACTCCTTTGAGTTCTCCAATGGTTGGTAGGACTCTCGATGTTGAGAGAGATCCTTTTAGACCCCGTGAAGATAGCGAAAAGATGTTAGGTCCAAAAGTACCTTACATGAGTGCTATCGATGGGTCGTTGTATCTAGCGAACTGTCCAGACCTGATATTTCCTTTGCCACTAATCTTCTTGCAAGATATAGTTCGGCTCCTACTCATAGACATTGGAACGTAATTAAACACATATTCTGTTACCTTCAAGGTACGGTTGACCTAGGATTAATGTAGTTTAGAAAACCCGAGTTTGGTATGGTTGGTTTTGCAGATGCAAGATACTTATCAGATCCTCATAAGGTTCGTTCGCAAACCGGCTATGTTTTTACAATTGGTGGGACAGCGATCTCTTGGCGTTCGCAGAAGCAAACTCTGGTTGCAACATCTTCGAATTATGCAGAAACCATTGCACTTCACGAGCCTGTCGAGAATGTGTGTGGCTTACATCAATGAGTTACCACATACAAGAAGCAAGTGCAATGGTTGATAAGAAAGAGCCGACATAAATGTTCGAAGACATTTCGGCGTGTGTTGCTCAACTTAAAGAAGGTTATATCAAGAGCGACAGAACAAAGCACATGCCTCCAAGATTTTTCTCGTACATACGACAGCTTGAGAAAAATAAAGAAGTGGACATCGAGTATGTACGGTCATGTGACAATCCCGCAGATTTGTTTACAAAGGCCCTTCCTACTACGACGTTCCGAAAACACGTCTACGGTATCGGAATGCGACATTTGCGTGACTTATGAAGAAAATACTATGTCTATACTTCTCAGAGGGAGATTACGTCAGTGTACTCTTTTTCTTTTTTCATGGTTTTTAGTCCAATGGGGTTTTCCATGTCTAATGTTTTAACGAGGCACTACGTAAAACAAAATGGATAATCAAGGGGGAGTGTTAAATAATATATAATGATTATCTAATTGTAACACCTCATGCAACACTTGTCTCATTCTTACTTCATCCTCATCACTAACAGATGTCATTGTTGTGTTTAAGGAAAGATGAGTAAGCTGCAAATCTAGTGCTATAAATAGCAATGTGTTTGTACGATAGTGAAATCAATAATAATCAGAACATCTTCTGATCTCTCTCTCAATATTGTCTTATTTCTTTCTGAATAATTATTTACTTTACAAAATATTCCTTCACCAATAATAAATCTACAACATTATTGTTATTAGTTAATAAGCTCTATCAATGGTTTGTTGAACAAAAAAAAAAAAGAAAAAGCTCTATCAATGGGCCAAAACCATAGCTACGGACTGATAAACAGTGGATATTTGGTAAAAAAAAAAAAAAAAAGCGTAAAGAAAGGCCCAATCTAGATGTACCCAAAACGACCAACTCTTCCCGCCAAAAAGGGACACATAATCCCTGCCACAACAATACCTTACCTCCTTTTCCTACTCCGGTTCAAAGGAAGACGACGACGAAGAAAGATATTTTGGTAAGAAATGGATGTGGCAGAGGAGACGAGGCTTCGCCACAAGCGAGATTTCATCCAGTTCCTCGAGAACGTAAGTCCCTCTCTGACGAGACTTCTCAATCTTCTATTCGTATAACTGGAGGTTTCCTTCTTCTTCTTTTGTAGATCTACATGGATGAAATCAAAGCGTTGGTACAGAACAAACGTCATCGTCTCATCGTCAATGTATCTGACATTCAAACACACTTCCGCGAATCTGAATTTGTAGAAGCCGGAAAACCGGATCGACATAAACAATATAAGAAAGACGGAGTTAAGGAAGTAGACGATTATATAAGACATGGAGGTGAGATAAATCTCTTTCCTTAACTCTTAATATTCGCTCCGTAGTGAGACGAAACTGTACGAATATCGAGTCCCAGGATACAACCATGGCAGACGAATCACGCTTCACTCGTGAAACGACCTAACGAACTAAAATTCTATGAACACTCTCTTTAAAACTTACGCTGAGAGATTGCTGGTTTTTTTTCTGTATGAAAACTATCTCAATAAAGAAGAAGAGTCGGGTTTATTTAAAGAGACAGAGGAGAGCCACTTCCCGCAACAGCTGCTGCACGTGGGCGGAAATCTCGCGAAGATCGGGGAAAGTGAGATGAAACTTTCTCCCCAAGATCCTCTCTCACGTTCAAAATAAATATCTTGGATAAACAGACGAACTATGTGTTGTTTTTAAGACAAACCACGCAGCGTTTTAACATCAACATCATGCTGTTTTTATTCAAAATTGGGCCAAAAAATCAAAAGTAATTTGGCCCAAAAAGAATCTTATTGGGCCGGAGGCCCTCTACCAAGACCCAAGACCCACGACCACGCGCACGCGCCAGCGCCGAGCCGGCTGGACGGCGGCGGCGGCGCGCGCGTGGGGGGGGGGACCATGTCCTCTCCTGTGTGCCGTTTGAACAAGTGATGGGGTGAGAACATATATATATCACTCAATCTCAACTCTCATACCCGATGTGGGACAAGTCCCATTTTGGTCGTTAAAACTAAAAGGCTTTTAGTTATACACGTAGGCCCATTTCTCTTCACCATTTTCTTTATATTAATAGGCCTTTTGGCTTTTAATAAATTAGTCAACCAATCCCCCACATGAATAGAAATTACTCTAAACATATGCAGTCTATATGCAGACTCGATAAACATAAAAAAAAAAAAATTACTTATTCTAATCCTGAGTAGACAAGACAGGCTTATCGAGAGTGTTTGCGAAAAACTCACCGTGTTTGAGTTGGTGGCATTTTTAAGCCTTGAACCACTCATAGTTAATATCTGTCGGGTTTACTTTATCAGAAGGTGAACATGATGTCTTGAACCAACCGATGTTTTATGTAGACAGAGACAACATGCATAACACAGCTTCATTTTCTCGTAGAACTTAGTTCTCTATTGTGTTCATTGTGGCCTTGAACTATTCCTGGTTTTTATGAGTGAACTTAGAGAATATAGCCTTGCATTCATTCTCTTAGAAACGGCCTCATTTCACACTCACTAGGTGATTGACCATGAATACTTCGCTTTAGAAGCTATGGAATCATTAAAAGCTAATGCTTATCCTTACGTTTCGTAGAACTTTTATAATCTTAGGAGTTGGGAAGAGACTACTTTGTCTCAAGTGCTTTGGTTAGATTTTGTTTGATTTTGTTTTCCCTTTGAACTTACGTCTTGGGATCTCCAGTCATGATAGGTAGGGTTGCAATCAAACATCTTCTTTTGTAATAGGCTTTAAACCCATTCCTTTTGATAATTTAGCAACAATATCTCATGGCAAACCATTAGTAAATGGATCCACTAGGTTGTCAGCTGATTTGATGTAGTCTATTGTGATTACACCAGTTGAGATAAGTTGTCTAATGGTTTTATGTCGTCTTCTGATGTGACGAGATTTACCATTGTAGAGATTATTCTGAGCCCGAGCTATAGCAGATTGACTATCACAATGTATGCGTATAGCTGGCACAAGTTTCTCCCACATAGGAATATCTTCCAAAATATTTCTAAGCCATTCAGCTTCTTCTGCAGCTTTGTCTAAGGCTATGAACTCAGATTCCATGGTGGATCTGGCTAGAACTGTTTGTTTTATAGATTTCCATGATATTGGTGCTCCTCCTAGTGTAAAGACATATCCACTTGTGGATTTTGAGTTTTTAGAATCTGATATCCAGTTAGCGTCACTGTATCCTTCTAAAAGTGCTGGTTCTTTACCATAGTGAAGCCCAAAATCTTTGGTGTAGCGCAAGTAATTGAGTACTCTCGTTATAGCTTTCCAATGTGTATGACCTAGATTACTTGTATATCGACTCAGTACGTTTACTGCATGCGCTAGATCTGGTCTTGTGCAATTGGTCAAGTACATGAGACTTCCAATCACACATGCATACTTATTTTGTGAAACTGCTTCCCCTGAGTTCTTCGTCAAGTGCATTTAGGGATCTAACGGAGTTTTCGCCGTGATATTAGAGTAATTTTTAAATCTCTCCAATATTGTTTCAGCATAATGAGCTTGGGTTAATGTAATTCCTTTTGAATTTCTTGTGACTTTAACTCCGAGAATTACATTTGCTACTCCCAAGTCTTTCATCTCAAATTTCCCTTTGAGCATGTTCTTTGTCTGATTGATTATGTCTTTATTGGTTCCAATAATGAGCATATCATTTACATATAGACATAGCAAAACATACCCATTTTTGGTAGTTTTGTAGTATATGCATTTGTCACATTCATTAATTTTGAAACCATTTGACATAATTATACTGTCAAATTTTTTGTGCCATTGTTTAGGAGCTTGTTTAAGCCCATAAAGTTACTTTACTAGTCGGCATACTTTGCCTTCTTGTCCAGAAATGACAAAACCTTCAGGTTGTTTCATGTAAATTTCCTCTTCTAAATCACCATTTAGAAAAGCGGTTTTAACATCCATTTGATGGATTTCTAGGTCTCTTAAGGCTGCGATTGATATCATCAGTCTTATTGATGTTATTCTCGTTACTGGAGAATATGTATCAAAATAGTCATGGCCTTCCTTTTGTCGGAATCCTTGAACTACAAGCCTAGCTTTGTATTTTCCACCAGGTTTTCGCGTCATTATCCATTTATTTCCTAATGCTTTGCAGTCAGGTGGTAAATCTGCTATGTACCATGTATAATTTTGCATGATTGAATCAAATTCACTTCTGACAGCTTCGTTCCAAAACGGAGCTTCTGGTGAAGCCATGGCCTCTGCCAAAGTTTTTGGAACATTTTCTACAAGAAATGCCATTAAGAAATCTTCTCCAAAGGATTTTTGCTTTCGAGCTCTTTTGCTCCTTATAGGTTCATCTTTTTCATTTTCTGAAATATCAATTGTACAAATCTCGACGTTTGTCTCAGTTTCTGAAACATTGTCGTTGTCTCTTTCTTCTCGAATTCCTTTTGAACGTTTTTCCTTGCATGGAAAAATATTTTCAAAGAAAGATGCATTTCTTGATTCCATTACTGTATTTTCATGGATATCTGATATTTCAGATTTATGTACCAGAAATCGATAAGCACTACTATTATGTGCATATCCGATGAAGATGCAATCCACTGTTTTAGGTCCAATAGTGACCTTTTTTTGGTGGTGGTACCGCAACTTTTGCTAAGCACCCCCACACTTTGAGGTATTTATACGATGGTAAATTACCTTTCCATAATTCATATGGAGTTTTGCCAGTTACTTTGTGTGGAATTTGTTGAGTATATAATTAGTGGTAAGCAGCGCTTCCCCCCACAGGTTCTGGGGCAACCCTTATTCCTGCAACATTGCATTCATCATCTCTTTTAGAGTTCGATTTTTGCGTTCAGCAACTCCATTAGATTCTGGTGAGTAAGGGGCTGTAGTTTGATGAATTATTCCATGTTCTTTACATAATTCATTGAATGGCCCATCATACTCGCCTCCTCTATCGCTTCTAACTATTTTAATAGTTGTTTTAAGCTGATTTTCTACCTCTAGTTTAAATTCTTTGAATTTTTCGAAGGTTTCATCTTTGCTAG